ATCGGGTCGTTGACGTGGGTCGCAGCATCGAGATCAATGAGCTTGAAGCAGTCGTCAACGCGAACAACGTTGAGCTTTTTGAAATCTCCGTGGACCAGGCCATGGTCGGCATGCAAATGGTGCAGCGCGGTCGCGACCTCCTTGACGACCGCAATGACCACGTCGATCGATGGCCGTTCCTTCAAGAACACGTCTTCCAGGCTCCGATCGGCAGCAGGCAGCACAATCATGTGTCGAAACAACGCCATCGTGACGTTCGACATGGACGACAGTTGGAGCTGCGCAATGTGGTCGGCGCAGTCGGCAGGGACATGCGACGGTAACAGGCCGAGCACGTATTTGGAATCGAGGCCGCGGCGAGTCCAGACTTCACGAGCCCAATCGCTTTCGTGTTTCATAAACTTGAGCGCCACTCGGAGCTTGTTGCCAAACGTCTGGTCGCAGTACCGCTGGTACTCGTCCTTGGTCAAGACGTCGTCGCTGTCGACATCCCAGATTTCAAATTCAGATTCCCATCGCTCGCAAGCTTGCGCTCCCTACAAGGCCATGGCGTCAGTCGCAGCATTCCACCGCACAGCGCGGCCATGCATAAAAGAGAGGGGGGGGGAGCGCGAGTACACTCGTTGAAACGTGACGCAATTTCAGAGCGATGCAGCACACAGTCGACGGAGCACGTGCCAGGGCCAAGGACACGCACGCGCGATCCAAACACCAACAAGCCGTGCAAGCGAACAACCATTCACACGTACAGGTTGGTGTGTCGACCGCGGCCCCGTTTGGAGCCGCCCCAGCGTCAAGCTGCACTCGACAAACCCATTCAAGTCCAAGAGCCCTTCGTCGTCTGCAAACTCGTCGAACACTTGGCTGCAAATGCCGTGATCGTATGCGAGCACGACCACGGCCGTCGCACTGACGTGGACGGGGGGCCCATCCAAGAGCTCGTACCGACCGAGGAAGTACAATTCGCCCGTCATGTAGTCTCGGATGTCGGTGTCGGCAGCGTTGATCGCGGGTCGGTCGTGGCGATCTCGTGCCGTCATGAGCCGCCGAACCAAGTCCGATCGAGGTACTTGCTTGAACGTTGGGTGGTCGAGGATCGCCCGGACCACGGTGGGCTTGGCCACGTCGTCTGGAAGCGTCATGTCCGGGGCAAGAAATTCCATCCACGAAAACGAATGGTCAGGAACGTCCACAAGCTGCGACGGCGCCGTGGGATGCACGCCCACGGGTAGGTCCCGAATCAGCAGGGCCACCAAGCACTCAACGGATAAATACGGGGCCAAGTATTCCACCACCAACCGACCCTACAAAACGGTTTGATGGCGCCTCGGGAACGCCATGAGCGGTGCCGCACCCGAAAAGTCAAGTCGCATTGCCAGGACGATGGCAGGCCGAGCAGCGCCGCGGCGTGCTCGTAACGCCGCATCCCAAGGGCATTGTCAAAGCACTAGAGGACTGTGAATCGTGACGAGTTGCGACGTCGCGGTACTTTGTAGCGGCTGTCGTCGTTCACGACTGGCCAGAGCATGTGCACGATGGCCCAGTGGCTGTTTGAAAGGGCCAGTTCGATGGCGGTGACGCGATCGCGCTGGTGGCTCGTTAGGTTGCAAGTGGATGAAGGGCTCGAATACCTCGGCTACAGCGTTGATGTTGATGCCTGGATGCGCCAAGAGCAATGACACGATCGACTCGTGCCCACTTGCGGCGGCTCGGTGTAATGCGGTTGGGGTCGCCTACACTTGGTCAATTGCCACCACTTTCGACTGGTTTGGATCGCAACAGCGTACAGGTGGCATGCCCGGCGGCCGTGCCACGTTGATGCGAGGGTGTGAAAGGAGTTGCCGGACCACGTCTTGCCTCCCCAACTCAGCTGCACGACTCAGTGGCGTGTAGACGCCCTACATCAGCGACAGTGACGGCCTTCAATGACGAAGCCTCTCAGACCTTGTTGATGACAGTGACTGCGTTCACGCTTGTAGCGTCTGCCGTGGCCATGAGGCGCTTGAGAGCAAAGAGGTCTCCATTCACGGTCGCGGCAAAGATGGCGCTGGGCGGAGTCATGGGGGATGGGAATTTCGCAATGATGCGGCGTCGCGAATGGCCACCAGGAAGAAGTATCCACATGCAGTTCAACATGGAGGTTTGAGGTCGAAGTGGTTTAAAAACCCGCTTCCACGCATTCTTGAAAAACATTGCAACATGTACGAAGCATATACACTCGATTTGCAATGTAGGATAAAAAATTCGCCGCCCATATATTTTATATTCCCTACAAACCCCCGGATTTCCCAGCACGCAACAACCGCGTCCTGTTTTCAAATGGATTTTAAATATGTGCAACTGCCTCCACTGCAACATCCACCAACGAGAGCGAGTGCACCAGCACACTCAACTGGGTTGACGGCCTCCCTCAATCCGGCGCCTTCAATAGCCCCGCTCGTGGGCGGCCATGTTGCGCCCCTCCTCTTCGGAGTCATCGTAGGATAGCATGGACCCCTCGAAGGGCTCGCTCATCTTACCATACACGTCAACTGGACGGCTACCTTCATTCCCCACGACCGGCTGGAGCATGGCCGCTAGCCCAACGCATCTTGACAACAATGGAAAGGCCCAACATGGTCGTTGTACATGGAGGCCAAAGCAGCCCGTTCGTGGCATTCAGCCATGCATACGCCCTGCCATGCCACCGCTTCACCGCGACATAGGTCCAACACGAGAACACTCGAATTTATGGCTCGGGCGACGGATCCAATCTCGTCGAGGTGCGTGGGACATGCCATCACATTACTGTAAAACAACGCGCCCCACGTCACTTCCGACGGTGGTGTGGTCGGCGCGACCCTTCAAGATCGCGGTTTGAACGGGTTGTAATGGTGCGTCCAGGTCACTTGTACAAGCTGCATTGCGTGTCTAGACTCGTGGGCCTTCCGCCGTCGCCCCTAGACCACCATCGAATCGTTTTGTGCACATCACGTGGCTGTGAACACCCGTGCATGTTGTGCAGCCACACGTTTTCCTGAGATCATCTTGGATGGACCATCACTACTGCGTCAGACAGCCAGTACCGGTCGTGAAGGTTGTCAGTGCTTTCCATGCGCCAAGAGTACATCCCATGCTGCGCTCCAGCACTGATACGTCTAGGAGCACGTGCGGGACCGAGCGCCACGATGCCCCCAGAGCTGCGAGGTGGTTTGCGTCGATCGAGGATATGGACGTCGCATGCAACGAATATAAATGTGTTTGCAATATTCTAGCAGTGTTCGAGGGCAAAAACGATAAAAAAAATCCACGCTGTACCTCTTCGAGTACAAGTGAATATCAGTGCAGAAGATCCTGTGTAAATTATTTTTGGATCTCGTGTCAATAAATTTTGTGTAATAATTTCGACATTCTCCAAAGAAAATGCACCATTTTTGATTATACACCACACGCATGACAGCGACGTCAACGAGCGCGGAAATCTTTGCCGCCGCGGCCGCTGGAGACGTGAATAGGATGGACCGGTTACTGCAGACGGCAAAGGCATCTGATGTCAATGCAATCACGGTTCACAACAGGGTATGTACGCACCTTTACCTTGAACACGTGGCTGAGCGTTGTGGTAACAGCATCGCGTCACGCCGATCGAGCTCGCCATCTCCAACAAGACGTGGGATACCGTGTATATGCTTTGGGCACACGACCTTGTGGACGACGTATATCGTGAAAAGGTATGATGATGCCGCAAGCTCGGCCTGCCAACCCACAGGGTTCACGTCGCCGTGTTGTCATAGTGCTTTCATGCATTACTGAGCAGCCAAAAGTACGAGCAAGCGGCAAACGTTCTCAACAACGTCCCAGCAGACAAGTGGAAATGTGCCCTCGATCTGGATGTACGACCACATTCTCGATGGCACCAACTGAATTCGACTCCAGGGCCAGACCGTCCTGCCCCTGTTATCACCGTACCTCTCCTTCAAGAGCTTTGTGGAATTTCTTGTGCAGGACCTACCGTTCTGCATCGAGACGACCGCGTCACCGCCATCGCTCGACATAAATCCAGACTATTCGTATTCTTGGGTCGAGTTTCTCGACCCTGACCTGTCCGTGTCGGACGAAGTGTCCAAGGATGCAGTCGTGCAAGCGCTGCTCGACCACGACCACTTTTCCCTGTGTTCGCGCACGGAAATTGTGCGCGCTCTGATCAAGTCGAAGGATCGACAACTTCGCGATGCCATCGACACGGCCGACATGGAGCTTCGCCACTTTGTGACGTCCCAACAGTACTTTTTGAAGCGATACGAGCTGCTGGATGGACCCCCCGTTCACATGAGTTCGACTGCAGTTGTCCTTCTGGCGTACGATCATGGCATGTGCGACCAAGTGTTTGACTCATGTGCCGACGACGACGGGACTCTCGACTTGAATGGATTCAACGATGCCAATGCCGCGCTCGGCCGTGAACACTCGGACTTTCGGTCTGTTGCGCATCAGGTATGCCTCTACCATCGGATTCGCTTGCACCTTGCGTGGTGGCTGTTTATCGGTACTTCGACTTGCAATCCGTCTGTCGCCTGTGTCGATCCCTTTGTGCTTGTTGCCATGACCATCGTCGTTTGTTCACGGTGGATAAAGTTTGCCCACTGAAAACGGAAACGGACAGCGTGTGTGGTGCGAAGTGGATGCATTCAATATCGTTTCCACGGTGAACCCGTCGATGGGTTGTCTAGGGTGCGGGTGGCCATGCTTGCATCCGCAAGTGTTTGCCGTGTCGTCGAAACGATCCGCTGACGGCGAGAATTATCCTGACTTGCGTGTGCCGTGCGTAGTTGGGTTGGCAAAAAGAGTTTGAGCTGTGCGCCAAAGACACCGACGACGTAATGACAAAGAGCGAATTTCTGCACTACTGCGACCAAGCGTTTGGGAAAAAGATCAAAGTTGTGTTGAAGTTCATGCGGAACGCGGACGAATGCAAGCGAGAACGGGCGACCCGCTTGCACCTCGATTCAAAATACGTGCTCGGGCTATCGCCGATGGCGTTGCCGGACGATTACCCCGACCACATTGCGCAGTTGCGTCTGTCCCGCCTCTCGAACGTGGATATGGCCGACTATCGCCACATGGTTGTGATGCCGGCGGGCGATCGGAGCTTGGAAGACATCTTTATGAAGGAGCGCTTGTCGGAACATCAAGTCCAAGCAATCATCCGAGAAGTTGCGACTGCACTGCACCATCTTCACCGCAATAATTGGGTGCATGGCGACGTCAAAAAGTTGAATGTCCTGCGTGTCATGGGGCTTCTCAAGCTCATAGATCTCGATGCCGCGACCCACGTCAACGACCCGATCGGCGCCAAATTCAGCTCGGGCATTGCTCCCCCCGGTACGAACTCAGTCCGGTCGCGACTGACATGTGCGTGTTGGATGGCGTAGAAATGTTTTATCGCCTGCCGGATGCAGCGGCCCACGCCTCGTTTGAACAGCATTTCAACGACAACGCAGGGCTGTGGGCCAAAGTCAAGCCCAAGGGCCACTTTGTCGTTCGATCGTATCGCCAGGACGCGGACGCGTCCAAGTTGCCGTACGAGCTGGTGGCGGCGACGCCGGCCATCGACATGTGGGCACTCGGGTGCATGTTGTTCCAAATGGTGTCGGGAGAAGAGCTCGTGCCGACGGATGTGAATCAGGACGTGACCGCCGACTCGATCCACATCGCGGCGACGTGGTCGGATGCCAAGTTGTGTCGACGCATCGAGTCGCAAGTGGCCAACCAACACGCGCAGGACTTGCTCAAGCACTTGCTCGTGGTCGACCCGGCATCGCGCGTGTCGGCGGCGGCTGTTCTGGACCATTCATTCCTGACGGGCGAGCCTGGCCACGCCTCCACGGCAGTCGTCCACGCGTTTCAAGACATCCAAGCGTCGCATCGCGACGTCGAGGCGCGGTTGAATCTGTTGCTGGAATCGGCGCAAACGACCGACCACCTCATCCAGACGGCGCGCACGCAGCTGACGACGTTGAAGCAATCGGTGGTCCGTGGCGTGTTTGATGCGTCCGAAGCGACCGTCCCAACGTCATTTGCGGTCTTTCCAGAGAGGATGCCATGGACAAACGCTGACAACCAAACGCGATCGTCTGAAGTCGAAGCATCGATTTATCAACACGTCCAGACGTTTCTGGCGTGCTGCAAATCGGTGTCGGAGCGGACGCTGCACGGCGACACCCTTGCGCGAGTCGTCGGCTCGATCACACAAACGCGACCGATGTACTTGTACTTGGTGGACGAAGTGCACAACACAGTGGTGTGGGACGCACCACCCACCAACGGCAGCTTGTATCCGATTGAAGTGCATCCACAAGACTTGTCTTTCTTGACGTCCATGTTGCCGCTCGTGTTCGGCGGCCTCCGCCTCCTCTTGCAGCACGACATGTTGCGGCCCCTCATGAACGACCTGAACTTGGGCCAGACGCGCCTGCTTCGCATGGACGACCAGTGTCGAAATTGGCTCGACGCGCTCGACGGCGACAGAATGAATGATGGAGGGTTTGACGTGATGGCCGCTGCCACCGCCGGCTCACCCGTCATGCGACTTCGAGGCGCTGCCCTGCGCCGATTCAAACTCTGGCTCTTGGAAAAAGACCCCGACAAGAACTTTGCAGGCCTCGAGCGTGTACTCGACCACGACAAAGTCGTATGGACGTCGCAGTGGGAGGCTCAGCGTCGTCGAAACCAGCAAGTGCCCGTCGCGTATGTATATCCAGACGAGAACGATTCGTCTGGGGTCGCCACCGGGCTGTCGCTGGTCCATATGATGGTCCAGCACATTGAACACGTGTAACTTTGAGCTTGTTGTTGAGGTCGCTCCATCACGGTGGGGGAGTCGTGGTGGTTGTTTTCTCCGTTTTATCGGCACCGCCAGAATGCCCTCCTATGCAACATATAGCGGTGCATCTATTGCGCTAAGCATGAATTCGAGATGGTGTATCAGGCAAGCCGACTCCTGGTCTCAAATAGAGGTCGCTATTGATGACCGAACTCGTTCGTCGTGGCATTCAGTGTCCACGATTCGCGTACCAAGGACCACGTTGCGCCGCACCGGACATACCTCGCTCATGACAGCGCTACTCCACCATTCCTTTGCATGAACACTCGCAATCCAGCGTCCACTTGACAAGGCCATGCATCCATGTGCCGAGAATGCGCCGTCCACCGCGACGTCCTGCCGAATCCTACGTGGAATGGGGAAGCTAATTAAAACATAATGTAAAAATACCCATACTAATTCGCTTACCATTGGGGCGAATTAAAAAAGCGACACATTCCATCGAGGAATGAATGGATCATCAGTCTCGACACAGGTTTTGTCGACGTCGAGTTGGGTTGATCGAAATCGGTTGCGATGCCATCACGGCTGCCCCAGCACGCCATCAACGCCGCGTATGGAAGTTACTTGGCATGTGTGAACGCACCGCCTGAATGTGTATGCGTCCAGCTTACTTGTGCATGCAGGTACAGGGTGTATTCGCGCGCTGTTCCACGCCGAGTTTCGCCGGTCGTATCACGGGTACAATCGCCGACAACTCCAGGACCGTCTGCGTCTGGTCTAATGACGTGAGCAGGCCAATTCTGTGGATTTTATTGAGCACGCTCGCCATTGCCATTGCTGCGCACGTTATGGTGTTTCCAGTCCGCGTGTTCCTCTGGCTCGTGGGGCTTACGTCGTACGCTTTGCCTGTGTGCCCCTTTCATCAGCTTTATGTGTTGACGGTAGACTTAAAGACGGGCTAAGCAATGCCCTTCATCGAAGCATAGCAGCAGTCCCCTTTCTGTGCGTTGCCGCAAGTCGGTATCTGTACCCAGCACTCTTTGAGCGCTTGTTCATGATGGGCGTGGCCATTCGCAGCCCGTCGCTCGCGTCAACCCTTGCAAAGGTAACCCTCGAGAACAATCGCACCATGCATCTCCTAGAAACGAATCCCTCAAGACGCGCTGCAGATCCACGTCGACTATTTTACGTGGGAATATGCATTGTCGGTGGTGCAGTTCACGCTGTATCGGGTCGTGCTGATGTTGATATTGGGCACCGGGTCGTTGGTCTTTACTCCGTTTTTCGGCGGTCTATTTGCCGTGGTGACTTTCAGCTTCAAGTACATTACTTTCAAGATCTGAATCGATTTGGCTCAGGAAGGTCGGTAGAGTCCGGCGGATGGAAGTTGTGTTTGCGCTGTCGTTGCTGGTTCTGTACCTGGTTTCACGAACGCGATCGACCGCATTGGAGCTCGTTCGGCTCTGGTTTGATGCACGGTGAGAGTGGGTGGCGTCCGTGTGTCTCTGTGTAACGCGATGCATTTAGAGCGATAGCACGAGAGCTCTTCACACCGTTCGTGGATCGACTGCCTGCGCTGAAAGCCCAAGCAATTTCAAACAGGGACTCTCACCAAATCTGTACGTAATTTCGTTTGAATGCAATCTTTATGCTCTGGTGGCGGCTCCAAGTTCTACGAAGAACAGCGGATTTTGACCATGAATCTTTGAATCACAGACGCCTCAATCCTCCAATGGCCCAAGCACCAAGCGATTCTGTTTGGGTTTTCATTCACGCTGAGCTATCTGATGCAAATTCCCTACATTGGGCCATTTGTGTGGCTCGTGGGTTCGGTGGCGGCGGGCCATGCCATTGCCCAGTTCATCGATCGACCAGCTTCCTTCCCGTCGCCAACAGAAAAGCTCTACTAGTGGTGTCGGTCTCTCATGATTCGAAGTACCCAGGTCACTGGCTACGGTGCGATTTCTCTTCCTAGTCAAATTCAAGTCGCGGCACTTGCGAAGGCGGCATTCGTTTACGTGACCTTGCGCATAATGTCCCCAATTTGTGAAATTCAAAGATGAAGTCGGTGTGTTCCTGTCTGTAATCGATCGACCACCTGGAAAAATTTGTGGAATTGATGTGCAAAACGCTGGATGCGGGGCTTTGGGATCGGGCAAATCGAGCACGGCATTGAACTAGCGTTGCGCCGAACGCATCGAAAGCCACTGCGATTCAGCCAGTAGGCCCCAGAGCACTGCTGGACGACTGAAGGCATGACGTTGTGAACCACAAGACATAGAGAAAAAGTCCTCACTTCAGGAGCCATTACACTGGCATTTCTGGTCGAACTTCGACCGATGTGGACCAGTCGTGGACCGCGTGCGGAGTAGCTGTGGATTTTGCAGGAATGAAAGTTGCAGGGATCGACGGTGACACGTGAAGAGAAGGTGGAGACGATCCGTGCGAAAGCAAGTGCCGCAGCGATGGGGTCACTGTTCTCAGCAACGTTCGCGTTGACGCGGCAACGAACTGGCCGATTTCAACGTGGCTTTGCCAAACTTCTCGCAGGAGCCCTACAAATCGTGCATTTGCCATTTGTACGTCATGAAGATGGAACCGTACACACGAATGTGTCGAGCACGACGCGATGCATGTGCTCGGGGGCATTCGACATGCCAACTGGGTTTAGTTCCAGTAGTCGATTCGCGGGGCTGTCGTCGGCCACGTCACTTTCATTGCTACTGATGCTCGAGTCCGACTCTTGCACAGACACCTCAACTGCGCTCTTTTCTTCGTCGTCGGAACGCTCATCCGCCCCTGCCAGCGAGTTCTCGTCTGGACAAGTCCATTGCATGGCACCTGGATGATGGATGACGCGTCAGGCGACCCACGGCATCCAAGAGACCCATGTACCGGTGGGTACGTGATAATAGTACGTGTAGCCGTGGCAGTTGGTCCGTGGCTCCCAGTCCATCGCTTCAAGCGATGTGCGCCAACGGTGAAACTTCCGCTTCACCGGCGTCAGTTTGACGTGAACCGTTACAGGCCGTTTTTCCAATGTAACTGCACAGACACGTTTAATAGGTTTTACCATGGCATTGCTGGGCAGACTCTCTAGTGATCTGAGGTGCTGCCCTCGACGTGTTGCTTCGTCTTTGCGACCACATCCTGCACCTGGGTCAGTAAACTATCCCAATCGGTGCGATTGCCGTAGATTGAAAACTGCGAAAAATGCCCTCCAGAGAGACAAATTGGGCTGTTACGATTCCTTGTCCACGAGGCTGTTTATACTTGCGCTGTGATCGTGTTGACGCTTGCTTCGCTGCCCAAACTCCACGTCACTCGACGAAGCTCGCTTCGACCCAGTTACCATACAGGGAACGACGAAATGCTATCGCAGTGGTTCTAGAAAATTCTCTTGTAATTTGTATAGTGTCAATGTATGTATTGTGGCTATGGCTGGATTTAGAAAATTTCGTTAAACTGCTGAGGGCGATTTTGCCGACGTGGCAATGGTTCACTTGATTATGGCGACCTTCTACTCCGATGCAGACACAACAGGATTTTCACGGAGCTACTTGGCACGCAGCTTGCTCGTCCATGCGCTCATGATACTGGCTTGCAAGGATTTGAAGCAAAATCGAATTGTCTCGTACATTCAAAACATTTACTTAATATAATATAGTAGAATTCAATTGACACCATTACAAAAAACACAACAACTTCAAGACGACCGTCGAATGGTCCACATTCTGGAAGCAAGTCTCACGTCCTTTGTGGCGACAACTTGGCGTGAAATCGCCATTCACGTGATGAGTAAACTTGTGTCACAGCGAGTGACAGCAGGGACCAAACTACTTGCCCATTACGCTTCACGGCAGCACTATACCATTGGAACTTGAAAGATATTGTTTCGTTAAAGTGCCAGGAAAGGTGCTTCAGATTTTCTCCTGTGACAAGAAGCGAAAAACCCGGATACATTGGGCGAGAGTTGTACGGACAATCGAAAGGATACAAGCATCCAAATATCCGCTTGTCTGTAGGTTTCCACATAAGAAATATCAAACACGTGGAGTTCATTTTCCCTTCCGATCATCAGAACTTAACAACCGTCCTGAGCATGTCCAGATCGATCGACCTTTCGCTTCCTTTGACGAAAACGCGCCGATTCCAGTTGGAATCGTTGGCGACAAGCCTATTGTTATAGATGATTTGCACGACACTTGACCGGATTTGACGCCTATGCCGGACAAAGGTGGTGCATATCACGTCGGCCAAATCGGCATTTCGTTTGGCGAAATCACGTGATTTTTTTAAATCTCACCAGGAAATATTTCACAGGGTCGACAATATATATATTCTAGACGAACGATGTACAGGATTAGATCGTTCATCAGTTGGATTCGCCACCATAGCACACAACGAAGCAATCGAGTCGTCAGCGCAAAACAAGTTGTGATGTACCGCGATTAAATCGGGCATGTATTCAATGTTTGGCGCTAATATTTGTAAAATCGTTTGAAAACAATAGACATGGATTATTTGGGGTATCGATGTTTGAGTCAATTTTTCACGATGATTATTGCGCCAAATCGTGCCGGACAATTACAGTCAACTTGATAAAAACTCGACAGAGTGGTACTGAATAAAATTGAGCATCCGATGAGCA